TTGTATGGTAAATTAATGGAAGTAACCGAGTCTGTTGATGTGATAAAAGAAAGGAGCACAGGCATAAGTCATTCCTTTTTATTTTCATCTTCAACCATTCATCATCAGTGATTATGGTCACTATTACATAAATTTTAAGAATCCTTAATTTGGTTGCAATTTGATATCACAAGATAACAAATACGTGCAAAAAAAAACAGAATCGAGCGTATAAAGGGTGGAATGGTTGAAAATTGGTCGACTCAAATGTGGCGATTTTTTTTATCGTGCATTGAAAAAAAAACTTGAACACCCCTCATTTTGTAGGTCTGTGCGTATTTTGTTTATGCCATTTTCCATTCAGTTGTCAAAATGGCGTCGAAGCAAGAGAAACAAAGTGTTGCTCGCGCATAAGCGAAATCCAAATTATTCTCACGCAGATGATCGATGAAATATACGTTAAGGCGGATTTAAAGCAGCTCACGGCTGCCGGAAAAGAAAAAGTTCAAGATAAGTTTAAGCAGAAAAAGTTATCAAAGTTTCCGGAAAAATATTTGGTTTGGCAGTCGATTTGCTCATGTGCACAGTGGCCGGAAGTCGGACAAAACCTCAAAAATTTACTTCATTATTTTATTATATTTTTCTCTCAATATAGATACTTCAACTAAGAAAATCCCAAATTTTCAAGTCATTTGGTCAAAAATATTGAGTCTTGGGGATTTTTTCAAAGTTGAGGTTTTTCTGATAGTTTTTCAAATTTTATTTTCTTTATTTTATGAGCTTTCTTCATGAGCTCGTTGTAAAACATTGGAAAATTTGGATAATCTGACAATACTGTAGGTGTTTTTGGGCATAAATAACCAAAACATTTCAAGGTTTGTTTGAAATCCATTCGCAAAATTATAGTGTTTTTCCAGCGTGCAAAAATATTGATTTATATGCAATTTTGGAGAAATACTTAGTATTAAGGAGAGCCAGTACTATTACAGGAAACATCAGAAAACGATGCCATATCCTGGATCTGACGCGAAATTTTGTCTAGTTTTTGGGTATATAAGCCACTCTTTGCGCATTTTTGCGCAAAGCACGAATTTTTTTTTTATCAAGTCACTATGGAGACGCATGGTTGTGGAGGAAGAAAAATAGTTTGAAGATTGTATTTTATCTTAACATAAATAAAATTACCATCTGAATACTGACTTCTTAGTGTAATCCTTATTCTGGTAGGTAAATGGCCGTCAATAAACCACGTGGTCTTAGGGGGGAGGCGAGGGGGAGGGGCAGAGGGAGAGGGGGTCATGACCACGGCCCTAACAAATTTTAGAATTTTTCTACTGACAAAAAACCACAAGGAGGTGAGTGTTACATATCAGTAAGGTGGAGAGGAGGAGAGTGATGACTAAGAATGATTTAGCCTTTATTTGTTAAGACATTTATTTTTGGAGAGGTTTCATTCCAGAAAAAAAGTGATTTGAGAGTTTTGATAAACAGTTTGAGTAGCGTTTAAACAGTCAATTACGTAATCAATTTGGGACACCAAAAAATTATTAAAATTTAACTTTTATTTCTATAAACAAACATTTATTAAACAAACTAACATTTATTCATCGCAATCTTCAACTATCAACAAATCTTGCACCTCTTTAGGCAATTCATCTGCCACTACCGTTTGCCCATGGCGATAACGTGAAACAATGGGATCGGATGCAACAAGCAATCCATAACATATATCTTACATTGTTTGCTGCCTAATTTCTTTATTCATTGCTTCCTGGGCTGGCCTGATATTGTTTCTTCTTTTCGAAAGTTTTGCGACGATACATATTGCCAAAGCATGCTCAATCGGAATGCTTGTCGTGCAGGTGCCTTTCTTTAGTAACGAAGCCAATTCCGCATTTCCTTCTGCTTTCAAAGCCATTCCTGCAGCAAATTTCAGTTCTTGCGGAGTAAATGATTTACGCAACACTTCTGTTTTTCGCCGCTTGGTTCGATCACAAACGTCTTCAAAATCTTTTGAAGGACGACCACCTACATTCCGCATTGTTAAAGATGATGTTGCTTCACCAAAAACGACGAACTCTTCTAACCTAAGAAATTAAATAAAAGCATAAAATAATCAACCGTAAAAAACATGAAACAATAACTACAAACCATTGCTCATTTAACGGCGCCGGTGGTGTAGTGGTAAGCGTGATTACCTCTCACCCCAGAAGGCCTGGGTTCAATCCCAGTCGGCGCCGCCGGGATGTTCTGAGGCATAACATCTCTGATCACGCCTTCCTTCGGATGGGAAGTAAAGCCGTTGGTCCCCGGTTCATGAGTTGATGGGTCGATAGGTAGGGTCCAGGTGTGGGAGCTGCCTTCCTGGCACATCGGTATCATTGGTGCTCAGCACGGAAAACAAGATCGACGGAAAAAACAAACCAAAGGAAAAAAAAAACGATTGCTCATTGGTCTTCAAAAACTGATCCTTTTTTCGATTCGCACTCTGCCATCTTCGTTGAAACTCCTTAAAAAGCTTGGAAACGATCTCATCACGACCTTCTACCGCACATCCAACATATAGCGACACATATTGGTCGACAGCTTTGCGTTTCTGCTCTACACGCACATCGCTACAGTTCAGAGCACCCTCCAATACGTCTTAACATTTTTAAGTAAATTTCTATAAAATATAAACAAATATTACTTCTAATTTAACTAGAAATTTCATTGTGTGTTATCTTTTCCGTTTTTCTTAGAGCACATTTCCACTAAAGAGTGATTAACAATTTGAAAGTATTTGCTGGAACTCTACTTTTTATCAATATGATCACCGATCACTGATGATTGTTTATCAGCAACTCCGTTCGGTATTGCGAATGTGTATTGACATTTGTTTCACTTTCGACAAGTAAAATGAGATGATGTATCATCATTCTTTAGTTCGCTGCAGCGCGCTGTATGGTATCTCTTCGACAAGTGAGAAAAAAGATCAATGTATATTATAGCCCACACTCAGAAGAGCATGTATGAAAGCGTTGAAATGAGATTGGTAAGGGACAGTTCACATTTGATGTAGTTCACATTTTGAGACTATCTGATCCCATTGTAAATCGTAAAAGAAATGAATCCTTATATAACATCACGTGGTTTATGGACGGTCCCTAAGAATACCAATCAGTTTTGTCAGCTAACATGTGTGTGTAGCTGAATCGATCCATTGAATGAAAAACATAGGTAATCGAACTTTTTTAATAATTTATATTATTTTATAGCTTTTGGACCACCCTAAGAGCAAAAAATACACAAGTAAAGTTAATTTCAATATCAATAATGATTTCAGAACCCCCTAATAACCCTTTTTATCAAAATCTCCATTCAACTAACACATCGTGATAGCTTATTATTGATTACTTTTTACTTAACCCAAAATGCGCTGATTTTCATAATTTAGAACTACCCTAATATAATAAAACCAAAATATATGAAAAGTTTTCTATCAGAAATACATTCAGGATACCAAAATCATCTTAACCTGTGAGTTTTAGCCATTTCAGATAACATATGAGGTTTTGTCCGACCTTTGTATGGAGGCCCGCCACTGTGCTGTGGCCTGAAAAGCGAAACTTGATGCCTATTATGAAGAAACACAGTTTTTTTTTTCCTTTGGTTTGTTTTTTCCGTCGATCTTGTTTTCCGTGCTGAGCACCAATGCTACCGACGTGCCAGGAAGGCAGCTCCCACACCTGGACCCTACCTATCGACCCATCAACTCATGAACCGGGGACCAACGGCTTTACTTCCCATCCGAAGGAAGGCGTGATCAGAGATGTTATGCCTCAGAACATCCCGGCGGCGCCGACTGGTATTGAACCCAGGCCTGCTGGGGTGAGAGGTAATCACGCTTACCACTACACCACCGGCGCCGTTAAGAAACACAGTTGTTCCGTGTTTTTTTGGCCAGATCTCGCTTGATTTCATTATGGGAAAATGGCTCAGGAACGACTACCGCCAACAACGTGCAAGTCGAAAGGACAAAACCCTCCACACTCGCCGGAACTGCACCCAATTGAAAAATATTGGGCAATCGTTTAGCAGAACCTCAAGAAAACAGTAAGAAATGAGAAACAGCTCAAACCAAATTGACGTTCAGCATTAATTAAGGTTGATACAACAGCGGTACAAAATCTGATGGAAGGTGTGAAACGTAAAGTCCGACAGTTCGCATTCGGAAAATCGGAAGCCTAATCAAATAATTTTCCTGTATTTTGAAGTCATTGAGTTTCAAAAATAAATAAAGTTTGATCATTCATACAATATCATAATCATTGATTAATGTTTGACCGTTCCACCCTCTATGCCAACAGAAAACACCTAGATAAACTCATAAACCATGTAAAGATATTAAAACATAAAAAAATCATAATTTCGTTTCGTTCCATTAAAAATGCTAAGATTACTTCTGGAAAATAAATCACTGCTGGTCAGTTTATGACATCGTATCCACAATTCGTTAAATGTCAGCTTTTTCTCCACTGAAAACAATAGTAACCCTTCCGTAAGTTATTTTTCCACCGAACTTTAAGCCGACTCACCACTTTTGTTGCACGGTAATAATCCAGAGCCCGGAGCGTGTTGCATGTTTTGAATATTTGCCATACATACCCGGTTATACACTTACCGAGCAGCAATTTTCTTCCGTTGGATTGGCAACCACCTAGTCTAGAGCACCGCAAGTAGGCAGAAGAAGACAGATTTAGGCCAGCTGATAAAAAGGAATGGCAACTCGTATGAAAGCCGTCTTCCTTCCTTTCTCGTGTTGCTGGCGGTGCGGAACTCTTCGGGGGGAGTCTTTCCTGTACCTCGAGCGTCATGTGGGACCTGCACCGGGGACGAGAGAGGGTCCCCGAGAGGAAGTGATTAGAGCTGGTTTTTAAAACCTCATCTAGTTGGACAAAATATGCTGTTAGTAATTTAGCTTGAGGACGTTGTTCTAATGGTGCGTGGTTTCATTTTTCCCATTTTTTTTCTTTTCGCAGGCCACCGGAATGACACCGCTAATGCTTGCCGTCAAGGACAACCGGACACCAATCTTAGATAGGCTTATAGAACTCGGATCGGACGTCGGAGCGAGGAATAATGTAAGTAGATTTTCTGCCATAATTTAGCGGATGAGCGATGGTTTGCGATTATTCGTTGGCCTCGATTTTTGCTATTTTTTATTTACGCTGATGATGATTAGGAACGGACATTTAGTTCTCGTTCAACCTGTTACACTCTGATTATTAAGCTCGTCGTTCCCAGCAAAGGGACCTTGAAAGAAATAGCAGCAGCCCGAAAAAGTATTTCAAGATCTCCATAAAATTGAAATACCTACGTCAAGAGCAACCCACTCGCACACTCTCTGGTACTATTCTCCCCAAACAGACGTTTGTGATCAATGCCCAATGCCCACCCCGAAACACCGTGGCGTCGCGTCAGTTTTGGTGGGTACAGTTGTGTTTGGAACGATTAATAGCTTCCATTTCCCGGCTGCGGGGGTGGTTGAATCAAATGGGCGGATCTGATTAGCATTCCAGGTTAAGTTCAACCGTTTGACGCAGACGGGCAGCTGCTGGGGCTGATGAAAATCGTTACCCTGCACCGTACCTCTGACTGACCGACGGACTGTATGTCTTCGATGGTTTGGATCCATTACGGTTTGCGTTTGAATGCGTTTTGAGGCGGTGTTCGCTTTTGGGAAGCGGAAATTAATCCGGAAAGTAGCTTTTGAACTGGGCTGTTCCACCCATACGGGTGGCAGCGGTGATGATAGCTGACCTATGCAAAGGTAGAGGAATTTTTTCGCCATAAGGAACTTGAGATGAATTATTGCATGGCAGGTGTATGTGTGTTTCATCTTTGATTTAAGTTTATTTATTCTCAAAGTCTACAAAATCAATTATAGACATTCTTTTTCTTTTATTAATACAAAACAGTGTTTTTAGAATTTGACACTTGCTTCTCGATTTCCAGTTGCTAAAAACGGAATTATTTTCGATATAGCGATTCTAAAAAAAAAAAAAAAAAATCTATATCATACCATCATGAATATTGGATTTAAAATACCAAAAACCAGACTTTATGATTTTGCTTTATACCCAAATTTGGTAAATGATAAAATAGCAAAAAATGTTGTTTCACGTAAATTTTTCTTAAGAATCACATGCAAAAACTGGTTTTCTTAGAACTTTTATATCGTTTTCTAATATTTTTAGAATACTCTAAACGCGCATATTTTTTTTCGGGGCGGTTGACTTCGCGTTAAATCTAACTTTTGAATATCAGTTGATCAATTAAATAACCACAAAATATGTTCTCAAATTTAGCTGTAGTTGATATTCGAAATCACCAACATCTCAAGCTCCTCAAATCTCTGCCAAATGTTAACTTAGCTTTGTTTGTTTGCCTCCGTCGGTGGAAGTTCGAAGTTGCTTTGGTTTTCCAGTGCAAACACCAAATTTCGACCCATGTTATTCATCGCACCAATTCACAGTGGGAGGGTATTTTCAGCCGCAGGCCATGACCCCGTTTATTCGGCGTGAACTACATAGTTTTCTTTCAACACGAAAACTTTACTACTGCCACTGTTATTATTGCCTCTGTTTCGGTTTCTTTTCTCTCCCACTTGTGTCCAGTGAGCGCTGGCATGTGCCCTAGGCCAACATTTTTATATATTCCATTGCCACCACCTGTCCCGTTCCCCTCGGGGAAATCAAATCTGACGCGTAGCGTCTCTCGGCAATCTCGAGTTTTCCGGCGTTCCTTGCGCTCTGTTTTGGTCTCAGAAAGGGGGAAATTTTGTTGACTAATTTTCTCAGCAGTGGAAACGGAACTGAAGAAAGTGTGGAAAAAGAAAATGTGCGATACCTAATTCAACACCTTGAATGACGTCACACGCCACGTGGCAATTCGCAGGATTAAAGCGTTCCTTCCAACCTAGTGAGTCGAAGATCGTTAGGAAGGACAAATCCGTCGCACAAATTACCCCCTCCTCACACATCAGGTCAGGTCACCGACCAGGAGTCGTTATCGGTCAGGCTGGTGTCTCGTTTGGGCGCTGAATTATGATGCCGGTGAGGTGATTACGGGTTTTGTACGGGTCGATACAGTAAGCACCTTGGTGGTTATAAAATGTAAATTTTTAGAAGGATGAATTTCAGATTATCATGAGGTAGTTTCGTAATCGTAATGTGCGTGATGACGGTGATGAAATGTTCGTGTTTTCTAAGAGGATTAATTTTTTCGACTTTTTCACACATCTGGAGTTCGTTTGGATAGAAGTTTTTACTTAGTGCACCATAATGCACCGAATACCGGACGATTCGTTTATACAGAAATTTAATTTGTTATTAAATTTTACCTCTACTTTGAAACATAAAACATAAGTGTGATGATTCTGAATGATACTTAATTACCATGATATAATTTTAAGATGTAAAAACCTAGAAAACTCTGGGCTAGACATATGTTTTTTAATGCATGCAACTAAATAGTAAATAGTTGCATGCATTAAAAAACATATGTCTAGCCCAGAGTTTTCTAGGTTTTAAGATCTTAAAAGACTCAATTCCAGACTGTTTAAATTATTCAGAAATTGGTATTACTTATAACTACCAACTGAAATACCTCGACTATTTCGATGTAAATCTTTACAGTTTTTTAGTTCACCTTGAATTCACTTCACATGCCTTATGGAATACTCCTCAGAAGTTCTGAAGTACTATTACTGCTATTCCTTAGGAATTATCCACAGAATTCCCTAATTAATCTTCCCTTGGTCCTTAGCCTCTCTTAGCACAATCGGTAAAGGCGTAGCTTCAAAGCAAGACCATGCTGGAGGTGGCTGGGTTCGATTCCCGGTCCGGTCCAGGAATATTTCAGGTTGGAAAATTTCTCGACTACCCTGGGCATAGGATTGTACTTGCCTCACCATTATACTAACGCAAAAAAGGTACAGGCATCGAAAGCTCTCAATTAATAACTGTGGAAGTGCATCTAGATTAATAAGCTGAGAGCACACAATAAGCTAATATTCGATAAGCAATAACCTTGAAATGCAATTAAGAAGAAGTGGTATGTTGACCAAAAATGAATGTTATCCTTTGAGTTCCTGTATTTAGTTAGACATCGGTTGGAATTGTCATTTGATTTTTCTTCAGAGGTACCGTAAAACGGGGTAACATTGATTGTGTTTGAAGAATATTCTAAATATTTTTTACATCAAATAATGTTACTCAATTTTTTTAACAAGTACTTAGGACCCTAAAGTCAATTAGTAAGTAATATGTTCAACGAAAATTATTGCATTTGCACTATTTTTTTCGCCTTGTGACCGAACATCAGTATTTTAGTTTGGGATTACTTTAATAATGCTGGATAAACGTAGAATAACATGTGTGCATCTGAAACAATTTAGTTCAAGGAATATGAAACTTTGAATGAGTATATAATCAGAAGCATCATAAGTAATAGTAAGACAACATTGCATTTGTGATCACAAAGACATTTCATAAGTGATGTTTTGAGTACTTTTTCAAACAGGCAAAAAGGAAGAAATTGTTTTTCAATTTGTTTGGCAAACATGGAAACAAATTATATCAAAATTATATGCGATACCAAGGGAAATGCCCTAAGCTAAAATATGGAACTAATGTTTCTAATTCGGAAAAAAGGCAGATAGTAAATTATAGTTTATCGTTTTACGGTATTCTAAAATGATGCTCAGAATTTCATTAGGAATAATCCCCCATAATTATAGAACACACAATTGATTGACACGATCGACGAAATGTTCCATGGACTGCATTTGACTTCTCCTTACAATGACAATGGAATTATCCTCATAAATGCCATGAAGTGTTACTCATAATACCCTTCGAATTTTCCAAAGAATTCACCTGACGTTCTCTTAGCAAAGCCAATTGAATTATTTTTATAAATACCTCAAAATTCTCCACAGAAGCCCTTAAGAATTCATTCCAGAATTCCCACGGAGCTCTCAGCAGAATGCCAATGGTATAAACCCCAGTCATTAAATGTCTAGGAAATTAATGTCGTGGAATAGTTGCTAGGCATACACTCTTGGCATTCACCTTTGTGCCTTGCTGGCATTGTTTACTACCATTTTTGTCAACTCCCTCCATACGACGTTATGAACAGATGAAGTACCGTAAGACGGGGTGACATTGGGCGAAAGAGCTGAAAACTATTTAAACTAATCAAATCAAAAGATTCAACCAGGGCGAAAGCTGAAAAGATTGAATCATTACAATATAAATCTAAAGATTTTCTATCATCATCATGTCTGCTATCTATCACTGTTTGCCAAAAATATCTAATAGAAATTACCTTTGTTGTAATCAACGAAAACAAATGTTCTTGCATTGCCATCTGGTCATCTGGAAGGATGTTCACGTCTAGTGCTTTCCCCAGGAACCGTTCATGGCCACCAGCTTGCTCACAATCTCCAACACTGGCGAGAGACCAGCAGACGAGCATTTTTGCAAGCCGTAAATTTGCTGATTCACGGCAACGTCGGCCACCAAATCACCACCAAAACTCGCGATGGACACATTATCAGCACTTTTCCCGGCTAATTTGCCAATCGGACCGTGTTCAAACTCGCACATGGTGACGAGACTCTCGATAGAACTACACGCCGAAAGCGTGACATCCGAACACGATAAACCGGCTTCCCGGGAGGCAATGAAAATCACAAGCATACTTACACACTGCTGGTTTAATAAATACACCCGTGCAAAGCAACGGATCCAATAAACGTCACTCTCGCAAAAGTAAACCCGTCGTCGTCGAATGGCAAAAAAGGAACTCGGTGAGCAATTTTTTGATACTAAATTTCCACTGAAAATCAACCGGGAATGCACGAATTTCAACACACCCAACTGCGAAACACGTTCAGAAGCACTTTTGGTACACTTTCGATATCAAGTTTGGTCGAAAACACTTTTTTTTTTTTTGCAAAAAATAGTTGCGATCGAACCAACATCAACACCGACCGTGCCGAGCTTTTTCACCACCCCCGAGTATCTAGAGTCTAGACTCTAGACAGAAAACCTTAGAATCCTTAGAGTCCCTCCTC